ATATATATATATATATATACCTTTGACCATTTAATGATCCGATTAGGAGAGTAGATGCTTTATATTCAACTTATGTTAAGAAGATAGAGGGAGACCTAAAAAAACTTGGACATATTGTATAATAAATGATCTTAATCTATTGGAATTAACGACAAATATAACACTCAATTGGCCGTAATGGAGAAAAAAGATTCATGCAGCTGACCCACTTAGCGGTATAAAGGCTTATGATGTTATTTCCTGCATTTTGTTCTATTTGGTTCATATTTGTGCCTTTTTAGAGTTATTTTTTGTATGTATTTGCAAGTTCAAGGTAATACGTTAGCAAGAAGGGAACATGTGAGCTAAGTACCACTTAGGTGCCCCATTAGCATTCTGTAGCCTAGCACAAAAAAGCAGTAAGATCGACGGCACAGTGTCCTATTATGGTGCCTGATCGTCCGAATTCTTCCCCATATGGCCTGGAAACAGAGCAATGGGAAAGTTGATGCCTAAGCCAGGTGCATAGGCTCTTGCTTTACATTTTGACCCAATGGCAATCCATGTGCCGAAGCACCAACCTAAGGAGCGCTCCAGTGCTAGCTTAAGTACCCAAGCACTCGACGTTGTTTTTTGGCAATTTCTATGGTTGTGGCATTGAGAAGATTTAAGCAACATTCCAAAGGTCAAATGAGAGATTTCAAGGGAGAAGATAGAGAACAAGCGAGAAAAAGCCAAAGGGTGACGAAGGGTCTCACTAGAGAACTTTCAAGAGCGGTCAAAGCACATCAAAAGGAGAAGTGTGTGAGAGTGTTGTGAGCATGAACAAGTGTTCCCTTGAGTGAGATAGAGTGTTTGAGAGTGAGATCAAGTGAATTGTGTACTCAAAGTGCATGTGAACATAGTGGATTCATTAGAACACATGTATTCTAGTGAAGCATATTGGTGGGATTGTTTAAACTACAATTGCTTTGGTTTTGAAATGAATTTCATGTGTTCTTCTCTAATGAGTAGGAACTTAATATCTCACTCACTTGAATTGAAAATCTATGCAAGTTAATACTATCAATGAATTGTGTTTGATTAATTAACTATTGAATTGTTAGATCCAATTTAGGGGAGTTCTTCTCACTTAAAAACCATAAGCGTAGTTTGTAGTAGAGCCGTCAAAATGGCTTGTTGTTTGCAAATAACTCATGTTCAACTTGTTAACGTGTTCAATTCATTCGCTAAAAAAACAATCTGAACACAAACAATTTTTTTTACGCTAAATATATAAACGAATCAAACTTGAATAAAGATTTGTTTGCTCATGTTCGACCTAATTTGGCTCAAAATAATATATATTATAATTGATGAGTATTATTTTTAAATAATTTAATTGACTTTAGGGCTATAAAGATTTATATTCAATTTTTATTTTTAATTAATAAAAGAGAATAAAAATACATTAAATTCTATTTAAATGAATATTTTAATATAAATAACTAGTTTTAAATCTCACCCATACCCTTAACTTTCTACGTCTACGTGATTAGGGTAGTCAAAATGGCTCATTGTTCGTGAACAACTCGTGTTTGAAACTTAAACAATTTTTTTGCACTCAATTTCTAAACGAGCAAAACACGAGCAGTTGTACTTTTAACGAGCCAAGCCTTGGCTTGCTCAAGCTCAGCTCGTTTATGAATCAATTCATTGCAAAAATTAGATATAATCACTTTTAAAAATTCATAAAACTGCGACACATCAAACTAAACATTGGACTAGTAAACTGCGACACAAAATTAATACATGTTTTATTTTTATCTACAACAAAAATAAGAAAAACAAGAGTTATTATGTTTATGTCATATTAAAATGTAAAAAGAAATTAAATTGCTTATAAATTTAAAAAAATAAAATATGATTAATCTAATTTAGTTGTTTGTTTGCCTACATACCATACATACCTCTTAAGTCCTATGGAATTATATATCAACATTAAACTTCATATTTTACATTTATATTACCCAAATTTTGTGCATCACATCAAAAATATCAAAATTTTTATTTAAATAAGATCAAAATTCACTTTTTTATTTTTAAATAAATTATACCAATGTAAAAATTGAATGGTTTTAGATATTTATACATATGAATCAGATGGTATCATGCTGCAAGTCTTCCTAAATTTATCAAATGCGTCGAAGTTCAGGTGGCCTGCCAGAGAAGCAAAGAATACGACGGGAAAACTTGAGCTAACCGCTACGCATCAGAATCCGCCGAGAGAATTCATATAACCAGTTATCCTCATTTCCTAGCGGTTCGCCCTCCCAGTTCCCTGGCTTCGCAATAGTCAAACAGGGAGAGAGGCCACCGGTTGCACCTCACTCCATCTCCAGATAAGGCTCCAGCTTCTGCTGGATTCTGTGGTCTAGAACCTCTAAACCCTACTCATATCTACTTGCGCATATCACAAGATCAATAGCTCCGGTGAGGCCCCACCCATGTCCGCCGTTCAAGCGTCACTCCTCTGTCGCCCCTCTTTTCCGCCTGGTTTACACCGTCCGGCTCCCTCTCTCTTACCTCACAGCCGCGTCTCCGTTTCTCCTTATTCCGTCTCATTTTCTATCCCTTACTCCCATCGCCGGTGCCTGGCTGTCTCTCCATTTCGCGCATTGCCTGAGAAACACGAGCCGAATCCCTACGAAGATGTTTTATCTTCGAGTCAGGAAAACAGCGGCCGTGACGAGCCGACCACAATGGTTGGAGGTTTGGGCTCTGTGGAGAAATCGTCCGTGGTAGAGGCAAGGGCTGAGGCGCAGCAGAATAGATTTCCGTTACTGGTGTTTGTTGTTGGCATGTGTGATTTGGTAAGGAGAGGGTTGGGCAGGCTGGCCTTGTTGGAGTGGCTTAACTGGTGGCCTTTCTGGCGTCAGGAGAAGAGGCTGGAGCGTCTCATTGCCGAGGCTGATGCGAACCCTAAGGATGCTAGAAAGCAGAGTGCTCTCCTGGCTGAGCTCAACCGGCACAGGTTTATTTTTTTTAATAGTCTCTTTTGTCTTCCATTTTGCTAGATAAACTAGTTTGTTCTGTTCAGATTTTTACCTATTGTTGGCCTTTCTTGCAAAAGTTTGTATTTTGAGTTGCTTTCTGGTTCTTTGAATCAAATTGTTCTCAGTAGAAAATCCTTTTTCTTAAAAATAATTAGTAGGTAGATTGTCCATTGCATTGATGCTGTTTTATTTAATTTACCGGTTGTCAAGTAGAAAGCTTATTTATCCGATATTTTGTTTCTTTGTCCATGTTACTTGCTCATTACTTTAGTTTCTAGTGCACTTGATTGTTTGTTCATGATAGTTCATTAAACCTTTTTAATGATCTATCACAGATATGCATGATTTAGCATGCATCATTATTGAGTGTGGCACGGCTCCTTAGTTCCGCTCCATACACCTATATTCCAGTGGGCAAATGTGATGAAATGCTGTGTTATATAATACCTGAATTTTTGGTTTGGTTTTCTTGATTGTTTGGGAGTTGTGCTTACAATTTACTTAGATAGCTTTGCAGGTGGCTTTATTATTTTTTTTCTATATGTTGATTGATGCTTATGCTGACAACCAAGAATTACTTTTTGTATGCAAAAGTAAAAATTATTTTCCCCTTGTAGGATATGTATTTCAAGCGTATCAAAACCATAATTCAGTATTTGGGAATCTCGATAATATATTTTTTAAATTATCATTGGAATTTAATATGATAAACTGAAGAGAAAAATTTTTCCTTTATGCTTGGCAGATTCAGGCTAATAAGCTTTCTATCTTTGGATAGGTCACTTTTTTTTTGGAGTACCCTTTAATGTTCAAATTTTTAGGGTTTGTTTGGGATCAATTTTGTTTTTAATTTATGTTTTGGGCTTTGCATCTATTTTTAAAATATTTTTTTTTTGCATGCTTTTATTTTTTGTTTTAAAAAATAAATTAGCTTATTTTAAAAACACTCAAAACATGTAAAAATTATTTTGAGTGTTTTAAAAAATAATTAAACTTATCAGAACATACCAAATATATTTTATTTTAAGTGAAAATGTATACAGTACAAAATAAAAACACAAAATAAAAATAGAAATCAAAAGTAATCCCGAACGGCCCCTTAGCTTTTCCAGCAATATCATTTACTATTTTGCTGTGCAGTATTAAGCAAGCTGCACACTTTTTAGATTGACCACTCTGTACACATTTGGAGGATCATAAGTTATGTTAATAAATTTTTTGCAGACCTGAGTCTGTCATTAAACGATTTGAGCAAAGAGACCATGCAGTTGATAGTAGAGTGGTAGTAGAATATCTGCGAGCTCTAGTTGTCACCAACTCCATTGCAGAATATCTTTCAGATGAGCAATCTGGCAAGCCATCTAGTCTTCCAATGCTGGTAGTTTCTAGCTCTTTTCCTATTTGTTTTTTACGTATGCTTTTGATTATCAGGATTCTACTTTTTGGCCCATCAAGAAGTTTTATTTTTTAAAAATATTTTTGACTTCGTGTTGATTAAATATAACTTTGTGAATTCGTTTCTCGCCTCTTTCATTACTACTCTTTTCATTTTTACATTCATTTTTTTTAGAACTGTAAATTACAAAAAGGCTTGTTACACACCTTGGTAAAATTTGGGTTGTGGAGATGCATGCATGGTTCTTGTAATTTTAAATGGATGGCTTCAATTATTGGGAAATTTTCTTTTTATTCCCTTTAGTTGTCTTTTCTGTGAACAAACCTTATGGTTGCTTAGTTGTTTTGTTCTGGCTCCAGTAAAATTATCTAAGAAACTGGAGGAACCTTCTTTCTTGAGAATATATATATATATTGTTTCAAAGTAGTAAATGTTTTGGAAACTAACATATAGCATCTTTCTCTATCTATTTTATGTCTAGTTTTTTGGTTGCCTTAATTCACCACAAACTTTCTGTTATTGGTAGATTTCCATTTTCTTTAGTTTCAATGCCTTCAAACAGCAGGCTGGTTTATAGAAAAAAGCTCTTTTTGCCTATGTAAATTTAATGAAGAGTTAAATCAGGAAAAAAATTCTAATTCTACTAGTATTTCATATTCACAATAAGGTTTTTGTGAATTTTTATTATTTGTATGCCTTGAAAGGATGGGCAGAGATTCTTACTGAACATTTGAAGATATTAAAAGCATCTCAAAGATGCAGGCAACAATTGAATTCCGATTCCTTGAGTATTGTGGTATGACCGCCATCAAAATCGACATGTTTTTTCACAGAAATTAAGCCAAATACAATTTTATTTCCCAAACACTAATTCAAAGCAATACAACATTAATAACTCACACGAATACAAAATATAAGCACTACAATTTGAGAGACAGGCGATATCTCCCAATTCCTACAATTCGAGAGGTAGTAAATCTTTCCCAAACCCTAAAACTAAAACACAAGGCTCAATCTCATGCATAGTACTAACCCTAAATATGATACTTATACCCAACAACAAGAATAATAAAAAGTTAAATTGTTCTTAGACATGCAAAAGTCAAAATTGCCCTTAGTCTAGACACTGACGTAGCGATACCCCTCAAAGAGATATTTTTTCTTCAAGGTGAGAAAAAATGAGAGTGTTTCCTTTCCTCCGTTATAGCTATCTTTATTTTTCCATCCTATATCTCCTTTACCTCCTCGCCATGCAGCATGAGAATTTGTAATTTGTGATCTTTGAAATAGTGTGCTTGGGTAAATTTCTCATCATATTGAAAGCATAACCTCTTGGCTCTTTTTTTTTGAATCTCTGTTATAGTAAGCTTCTTGAGTGTTGCTCCCAGTCAAGGCCCATTATTTTTGTCCCATGCAGCCATCGTTTGGACTTCTGCTGTTTGAGCTTTTGGTATTGTCGTGATTGTAGCAGTTCGACACGACGCGACGCTCGATCTGTGCTGCTCCTGCTGGCCTTCTCTATCTGGTTCTTATCCTCTACCATCTGGTCTGACTCCATTGTCTCTTTCAATCCCCGTGGTCTCAATAATCGGAGTGCTACTCTTATGTCAGACTCTAGGCATTTCATGAAATTTTCCCCAAATTCAACTTCAAAAATCCTCCTCAGCCGTCCTTATAGTAGTCAAATTTCTTATTATATTCTTTGACAACTCCCTTTTGAGTCAAGACATAGAGTTGCTTATGTGGGTCTTATTCACGAGTGACTCAAAAATATTCCATCAAATAATTTTTAAATGCCTCCTACAAACAGATCGAGCATCTGACCTCCCTCCACTGAAATCAGGATAGAGTTTTCCCTCCAAGCATAACCCTGCTGCAATGAGTTTTTCCTTCACATCTAGCCCATTCATTGTAAAGTATCGCTCGACTCGATAAACCCACTCATGTGCTCCTTCACTTTTGAAGATCGGCATCTTCAGCTTCCTAACCTTAGTATCTCCATCCCAACTTTCTCTCACTTTGTTTTTTTACCCCATGTATCGAGGGCAAAATTCCTCCTTCTATTTTAGCCATATCCCCTCCCTGCTTCTCTCCTTTCTTCATTGTGCTCCTCCATACCTCTTATATAATCTCTTCTCCATGTTTCGAACCAACCACTTCCATCAGAAAACTGCAATCCACCCCCAATTAGAGCTCTGAGAGGGGGTTCTAGATGTGGGGTTGCTTTCCTCTTCGCGTTCCTCTCGTTTAATCTCTCTTTTTCAATTTGGTAGTTCAATCTCTGGTCAACCCTTGGTTAGGATTTGCAAATCGAGCCGCCAGCGTGGTTTTGGTTTGCATCTCAATAAGCCTCCTCCTCATCTCCTCCTAGCACCCGAATCTTTTTTTCATGGATGAAATTCTATCGTCTATGGGGGCAAACATTTCTTCTATCTTGGATTTAAGTTTGCCCACATTTTTTTTTTAATTTCTTATCAAAATCATCTACTTTGTTGGCTTTCATTCATTCCTTTCATTTTTGAAACTTATATGCCGCGATACCGTAGTTGGTTAAAATCGAGTTCGTAAAAATCAGCTCGAATCTTGAGGATTTCCCAACAAGCTTAACTCATCTTTCTTCACAGGAGATGGAAGATTCGTCGTCGCCTTCCCAACAAGCCCTTGTCACGATTGTATTCATTGCTAGCTAGCTAGCTCGATCGCGTTATATAGTAGTTGTTACCTTATTGTGTGCCCGTCAGACTAGGTCACGAAGGCATTTCTTGTGTGCTGCGATCTAGTCGGCCTTTCCTATACCTCACAATCCCATTGGTCTTCACCGCAAGCACCAATCACGAGGGCCTTCCTTGTACCCCACAATTTTGTTGGCCTTCCCCGCAAGCACTAATCGTGACTACTTCATGAGGACAATGTGGGAGGAAGTGAACGAAGGAAGTTTCAAGTCTCTGTAAACCGTGATCTCGTCATTTGCCCTGCAAAATTAAAGTTGTGGGCCTCTGTAAGCTGCGAGCCCGTCATTGCCTTCTCTGCAAGCATGATTGCTACTATATCGTCATGATGTGATGCCATCATTGCTTCAACGCGATCCCATTGTGGTTTCCCTGCTAGCCCAATCACACACAATCCCGCCGTGACTTCTCTGATAGCTCGATCGTAACTGTATCTGAACTTCTGTACGTTCCTTCTCCTTCCTCCAAGAGCCACGGTCCTCTTCTCTGAGAAGATAACATTCTTTTCTTTTCAAATTCTCAAATTGATGCTTTGATACCAATTCGATACTATCCGACGTCAAAATTGACACGCTTTTTCATAGAAATTGGGGCAAACACATTTTATTTCTTGAACTTCAATTCAAAGTAATACAACACTAATAACTCACATGAATACAAGGATAAACACTTCTACAATTCAAGAGGTAGGCGATCTTTTCCACTTATTACAATTCGAGAGGCAGAAAATCTCTTCCAAACCCTAAATTTTAGATTCACCTCATGCATAAACCTAACCCTATGCATAGTAAGCTTATTTATACCCTACAATAATAATAATAATTAAAGACGATTGTATTTAGACATGCAAAAGATAAAATTGTAGCACATTGTTCTAGTCAACTATGCTAAACTGAGTGTGTGCAGTTATTTTTCTTCAATTCTAACTATAATTTGGTTTCCACATTGTTTAATTTCTTTTTCTTTTAGCGTTATGCTAGCTGGATTTTATAATCGTGGGTTTCTCAGTTATTTTTGGAAAATAATTTTTGGTTAGTAGCTACAAGAGTTGAAGGAGCGCGCAGCTGGAAACGAAGATGGATCTTATCGTAATCCTGGCATCTCTGACAAGCAGCCATTGCATGTAGTTATGGTGAGGTCAAGGAAACGAGACCCATGATTTCTGTCTTATTTTGAGTTTTTTTTTTTTTTGCGCAATTCACTGTTTGGATTGCCATGATTTCTGTCTTATTTTGAGTTATTTTGAGTTTTTTTTTTTTTTGCGCAATTCACTGTTTGGATTGCCAGGTCATTTACTTGATACTCTAAATTTCGTCAGGTTGATCCCAAAGCATCTGGTAAATCTACAAGATTTGCACAAGAACTACTTTCAACAATCATATTTACAGTGGCTGTGGGACTGATGTGGTATGCATTTTTGCAAACTTAATTGCCTTTACTTATATTTGTATCCGAGGAAATGCATGCCACCTGTAAGATTTTTTATTGCTTTTCAAAAGCTGTTAGATTTTTTATTCTAGCAGTTTCTTTTCTGTTTCTGCATGAAATAAATATTATTTTTGCAAATATGGGTGGTAGGGATTGACATTTCTTTTGTGAACTTTTTGGGACTTCAGTTATTAGCTTTTATTTTTTATCAATAATTCTGCATATTAGTAACACTTTTTTACAGGGTAATGGGTGCGGCAGCACTCCAAAAGTATATTGGAAGTTTGGGTGGGATTGGCACCTCTGGTGCTGGTTCGAGTGCTACCTATGCTCCGAAAGATCTGAATAAAGAAATTATGCCAGAAAAGGTACTTACTGTCTGAACAATTCATTTGATTTGAGCGTCTTTTATTTGCAATGCGAACTTGTTTGGGTTTAATCATAATGCTTTTTTTAGACTGAAGAACTGAGCAAAATAAATTGGCCATCTAAACTTATGGGCAGATGTAGTTAACTTACGAATCAAATATGATTTATAATATATATGATTAACACGGTAAACTGCGATCAGTTCAGTTTTGATTAACTTAGGTCCTTGGTTTGGGAGGCTTGTATGGAGCTTGAGGTACATAATATAGTTTTATTTGTGTTAAATTTTTAGAATTTAATTTGAAAATTTAACTTGATGTCTGTTTGAGCCTGTGGTTTTTGTAGCGACACATCTTTCTTTGATTTTTACATGTCCAGCCTGGTGTAAATGCTATATACTTTTTAATTTTCAATGCTGCCAAAGCTGCAGAGTGATTTACAATACAAAAAGGCACATGAATGCAGAACCACGTTGCACCTATGTATTTGATTTAGGAAGTGCAACCTGTGATTTCATTGTTTACCAAGTTTTTGCATGTACAGAGATAAGAATAATAGCAGTCTATATTTTCCTTGCCTTACTTTCTTGTTGTGTTCCATGCAGAATGTCAAAACCTTTAAAGATGTGAAGGGCTGTGATGATGCTAAGCAAGAGCTTGAAGAAGTAGTAGAGTACCTTAAAAATCCAGCAAAGTTCACCCGCCTTGGAGGGAAGTTGCCTAAGGTTTGTGAATGCATAGATCGTTAATACTATAACTTTTTATTTTAAGTTTCTTAGCAATCTTTTCTATCAGCATCCCTGCATCCCAATACAATCGCTTTGCTGTAAGCACTGGCAAAATATTTAGATATTTTTCTGGTGGATGGACTAGTTTTAAGACTAATTTCAGTTTGACTTGCGACGAATTTTAATCATTTTTGCGGTAGGATTTGTTATATGGGAAAAGGGACATCAATAAAATAGTTAAGATAAGAGAATGGAGGTGAAGATTAAAGGAAGTCGTTAGATTTATCTAGAGGATGGAAATATTATTTAAATGATTGCCAATTAAGTGTCACACCCCAACTGACTCCTCTTTTTGGGTTAGCCGTGGCGTGAAAGAGGCAGAGTCAAACCAAATTCTCACTAGCACTAGTCCCGACTTGCAAACTCTGGACACAGTAGGTGATGGACTAGTCTAACTAACTCGCCGTAATGTACATAGTACATTTTTAATTCATTATTTATTCACATTTATATATACTTGAAATCATGAAAAATCATATCAAGAAAAAAAAATATATATAGTTGCTAAATTCAAAATAATAGAAACACGTATCCAAAAGTTTGTACACACTTTAAAATTATAGTGTAAAAGTTGTACATGTCGCACCTAGTGACTTGCTCAGATGTTCTTTATCCCTTCCTAAAATTACAACATAGCATGTGCTATAGACTCAATGAAATAACCAAGGCTAAATAAAGAATTTTATGGACGAAAAATAAAAAATGTGCATGATCATATGTAGCTCATGTACATGTTCACAGCAAATGTCACGATGTGTTATAATTGTATAAAATATGTAAAGATAGACACGTAATGGAGAGAATCATGACAACCGTATAAAATATGTATTTCATCTATTCATCTGTAGGGTGGAGGAAAAAAAATTATTTTGAAGGAAAGGGGGGGGGGGGGGGGTGGGGGGGGGGGGGGGGGGGGGGGGTGATATGGGAGGATGTTAGAAATTCTAGGTTATGACTAGGATTAGGCTAATTCTGATACCAAATGATACATGAGTTAACCCAAAAAATAATAGAAAAATTAAATATTTTTACTGAAAACAGATAGAGGTTACAAGCATAGATACTTGGAGCTAATAAATAACAAAGACTCAACACGAGCTCAACTAGGGTTGAGGTCGAAGGCGGTGCTGCTGTAATTTAAGGAGAATAATAACTAAAATGGGTTGGGTGGTGTATGAAAACAAGGTCCTCGGGGTGATAGTGGCAACAAGAAGGCGGAAGTTGTAAGTGGGAGGTGGTTGGAAGGGGTAGTAGCAAGTTGGAGGTGGCTAGAAGAGAGCTGCAGCGGGTTGGAGGTGGCTAGAGGGGTGCAACAAGTTGGTAGGTGGTTAAAGGGGTCAACAGCAGGCAGGAGGCGGCTGGAATGGTCGACAGTTAGGTGGACGGGGTGACAACAACCATGGAGACTGTGGTAACGGAGGAGGGGCAGGGAAGCTGGGAACTTTAAACAAACACTATTCCAGGATGAGTTACAGTTGTAGCGTCTTCTCGCTTCGGATATAATCCTAGAATGGAAAACCTGGATGCCGGCGGCTATCCTGATAGATAATCGAATAAAAAAATTGCCCTAAAATATAAATAATATATATT